CCAAAAAAAAAGCAGAAAACCCTAGTTGTAATCTCATATTACGCAAAGGTGAAAATTTCAAACAAGTTCAACGGTTTAAATATCTAGAATATTATCGTATCATAACATCAGGTGCCAAATGTTCCACACAAATAAAACGAAAGATCGCAATAGCTAAAGATAGTTTCAGTAAAATGAGTCAAATGCTGAAAATTACAAACCTCTCAATGGCTACCAAAATTAGGAGTTTTAGTAAAAGACTACCTTCTAGGTGGTTGTGAAAGCTGAAGAATTACCAAATATAGGGAAAATAATATCCAAAGCAACAGGAATGTAGGTTCTTTGAAGACTTTTCAGAATTTCGTGGATAAAAAAATAAATCAAATCAGGATGTTCTGAAAAAAGCCCAAGTAGACCACTCTTGAATAAATACCAGATCTGGCAGTTTGTGACGATGAGGTGCGACAACGCTTTGTAACAACCGACACTGTCTCCTCATTCCACATTGCTTGAAACATGTATTTTAAAGACATTATCCGTAAATTCAAACTCGTCAGATAAACACCTTGAACAATTAAATGTCAACAAATTATTGCTCGTACGTTCTTCAAACTCTAGGGCCTAGCCAGAAACAATATTATTATTGTTTTTGAGGGATGGGGGAAAGGGCGTACGTTTACCTGAGGCAGTGGCGCCGTGTGGAGAGTTGTGTCCTGGTGTGCCGGATGAGATGGTCCTAGCAGACAGACATGCCAGAGATTGGCGGGAAGTGAGTGACCGGCGCGCTGACCAGCTCACCGCAACAGCACACTTTCTCAGCATCTTCTCGTTGCAACGGACTGACGGTTTGGGTGTATCCTTAAACTGATACTTAACTATTGCAAGATTATATCCTTAAAGTGATACTTAACTTGTGTCGGGTGGTATTCTTATACTGATACTTAACTTTTGCTGGATGATATCCTTATACTGATATTTAGGCTAACTTGTGCGTGAAGATATCCTTTTAAATACTGATACTTAAAATGAGTCTAGTGATATCCTTCCACTGGTACTGAACCTGAGTGAGTTGACTCTCGCGTGCAGACTCTGAGAAGAGAAACACCAGTACACTGACAATGCGGAATCTCAAAAACGTTTTCACTGACGAACACAGAACCAACAAAATAAACACAGCCACAGAACAAGAGGATATCAACCAACACGGAGAGTGTTGAGGCGGTTCCAGGTGACTGAAAAAGGTCAAGGAAACACTTGCTGCACGGCCCGCACACAAAACCAGGCTGTACTAAAAGTTCACCTCAGGGTTCAGCGACTGTTAACCAAAGCCCGCCTCACTCTATGCGGTACCTACGTACTGCCCTCTTGCGTTCTCTCACACTTATTGTGTGGCTGGCCAAAACTGACGGCTGGGATATGTGTACGAGATCGATTACATTACAGAAGGAGCTGGGATACTGAGCTGTGTAAATTATATATGGACAGACAGACATACAGACAGACAGACGCTTATAGGTTAATGACCGAGTAGCACACGCGCTACATGATACTTCTCCCAGTGTATACATGGGCTGGTAGGGGTCGTGGTGACCTCCGTTCGTTGCTCTGTATAAAAAAAATCTACAATTCTATCTTATATGTTTTACAACAATGACTCAACAAACCAAGACAAAAAGGAAAGAGGCGTTCTTCCACTACTGGCCAACAGACGTAAGAACCGGCGACGACGAACTCTTCTGGGGGATTCATTTCTGTGAATCTGTTAGCCTCTATATATAACATACGTACAGTGCGGGAAATGCCCGAGGTGAATTTATTATTAGACATGTTCACGTTCTGTACACAAAATCAAGGTCACAGCCAGTTCAGCGCGCCAGGATAGAAGAATGTCTCTGTCTTCCTCCAAGATAACGCAGTACAATCATGTATTATAGGGCAACGCGGATTATGAATCTCCCCACCATAGACATATTGCACTAGAATACTTAACTCAGTGGGTTCGAGCATCTCCAAATCCTGCAAAATTGTGCGGTTAGGCAGACTAGGTGGTGGTGGGAAGGACAGAATTACATGCACGATGATATTGTTGATATTGTCGATGCCAAAATGCATCGTGATGGTTTTCAGAGTTTTCAGCCGTGTGCAAGAGGAACGTCGATCGAAAAGTGACACTTTCTTCTCTGGCGTTTAGACTTAAATCACTACTGGATAATCTAAAAAAAATGTCCTGTGTTTAAGGAAAACAGTCCTGGAGATCACTATGATGACCTGGGTCTGGAGTCAACAGAGAGAATCTACAGAGAGAATGTACATTGTTGTAAGGACCGACCTTTGACCACGAAGCTATTCAACTCTGGCATTGCAGACCCAATGTTTGGGGGTTTTGTTTGTTTGTTCGTTCGTTTGTTTGTTTGTTTGTTTTAAAGAGGTAGATTGGGGGGGGGGGGTTAACGTAGCGTAATCAAAATTTTTCAAATTGAGGAAAAGAGATACATGTATATCTAAGTTTTCTGAAGTTCTGTATTTACGTTAGTTGGAGAAGATTTCGAAACCTGACCGGAAGGATGACACTAATTGACCGGAAGTCTCGTCTTTTTTTTTACTTTTCACATCTAAGCCATATATTAGGTCGATTACTTTATTCTCTACAAATGCCGCTATAGCCCCATTTAGACGTACAGTTCGTTGATCGACAAACTGACAGTTTAACCCAGTTTTATTATTTCTTTGATTTCACGAATATTTAGGAAATTTTTGGAATGCATTTTCAACTACGCATGGGGCAACATCAGAGAAGCCGCTCCTTCGTCGTCACCCCTTCAGTTTGCCGGCCGGCAAATATCTGGCGTCGCCAGATATCTGATGGTTGGATAGAGTACCCTTCGATATCGAGAGGATTGCTCGTTTGACGCTCAGTTTCCACGTGAATTTGACAGGATGCCCGCCATCCTCTCGATATCCTACAGTTTGTCGATCAACGAACTGTACGTCTAAATGGGGCTTATATCTTCCCTTAACTTTCTCATCTAGGTCATGCATTAAGTCGATGGTTTATCTCGTGTCGAGCAGAACGAACCTTGCTTCACTTTTGTTGGCCAAGTGTTGGGTTCAGGAAGGAGGTTTCACGGAGAGTGGCGAGCGGTTGTGGAGTGTTGGGAGAGAGGGGTGGGGGGCTAGACTTTAATCTCTGCTGAATATGTAATAATATAATAATAA